GCCTCCAGCCTCGGTCAGCCTGTTAGCCTACAGCCTACAAGCTTCCGCACCACGCAGCTCTGGAGATCTCTCCGGCTTCACCCCCCTGCCCCCGCCCCGTACCCCTCTCTTGTACTCTGGATGCATGAAGGTCGACCCCACCCCATGACCTCATGCACTTGCTTTTTTCCCTTCCACAAGATCTCTGCATTGTTTTCACCATTAAAAGCTCAGCTCAAACGTCATCCTCCCCAAGAGCCTTCCGATGACTTAATCCCAGTTATGCCCACCCATGCACCCAGCTGGTACTCTTGATACATCCCTGCTTTATTCTCTTCCTAGCACATTTCACTTTTTGTTGGTTTGTTGGTTTCCTTGTTCATTGTTTCTCTCCCCTTGTCTTTCTTTTTTAAAGGTTATTTATTTATTTATTTATTTATTTATTTATCTATCTGAGAGAGAGAGAGCACAGAGGGAGAAGCAGACTCCCCTCTGAGCAGAGAGCCCAACATGGGGCTCGATCCCAGGACCCCGGGATCATGACCTGAGCTGAAGGCAGATGCTTAACTGACTGAGCCACCCAGGCGCCTCTCCCCTGTCTCTCTTGTTCAGTGCTGGTCCAAAGACCCAGGAAAGCATCCAGCATAGAGTCACTGACCAACTGCTCGGTGAGCACAGTTCCCCACCCTGGCTTCACTGGATTTCATCATCTCTATGCACCTGTAGCCTCACAACCTTATGCTCTCCTCATATGTTCAGGTACATAGAAACCTTAAGTCCTGTAAGATATGCCACAAACATTCTTGGAAAAATGTTTAAATTGCACTCTGAAGGTATAAAACAAACCAGAAAGTCACTCAAGCTCAATGTTAAGAGTCAAAAGAATCAAAACACCAAAAGAGGAAGAGTTTCGATGTTGTAATCAGCGGATGATGAGAGTCTAGAGTTTTCCGTGCAAAAGTCAAGGTGTAGGCAAGATCTAACCTTTTCGTCTTAGACAGAAGCCATGGTTTGGAGCAAAGAAAGGGTTTGTATAAGAAATCTCCAGGGAGTCACAGTGACCCCTAACAGTTCCTTCCTCTCTATCCCATGGCAAATTGGTTGTGTTGGTCCGACTCCCTCACAGCTCCCCAAAGACTATGAGTGATTCATCTTTGTGCTAGCGCAGTACCCAGCACAGGGCATGACACCGTCCAGATCTGTTGAACAGAGCCAAGCCTCCTATGTACGAGATGGCAAAAATCCCTTTATCAACATAAATGTTGATTACTGCCCCCCAAATGCAAGATGAGCACAGTGCCTAGGGCTCCTCTGTGGGTTCCACCTCTGACTCACAATATTTGGAGCTCAGAATTCCCCCTAGGCTGCTGATTCCATGATGTCCCGGGACCAACGGGGATCTGGAAGCTCTTTAAAAAAATGGTGATTTCCTCTTTCAACTATACCTGCAATTCTAAGCTCTACCACCAGGTGGCAGTTAGGTTTACACAAACTATTAAAACTAGTTTAATCTCCAAGACTGTACTTCTCATTAAAATATACCCTAAATTAAAACAAGCCACATACATGCACACATTTTTTTTAACTTATCATATTGGCATAGATTTAAAAGTATGATAATACCCACAGTTGGTCAGGGTTTGGGGAAATATGCAACATTCCTACGCTGTTGGTGGGAATGTAAATTAGAATAGCCTCCAGGAGGGCAATTTGCCACACATCAAAAGCCTCCAACATGTGCAAACCCTTTGGTCCAGCAATTCAACTTCTAGACATCGATTCTAAGGAGATAATCATGGAAATACACCTACATTTATTCCCAGGATGTTGACCATACGGGTTAAGAAATTGTCAATATAAACACCATAACTTGAACATGGGTTAAATTATACAGATGAAAAAATACTATGTAGCTACTACCTTCTAGAAGAATTCTGAAGGATGTGGAAACATCTCATGCTACGTTAAATGAAAAGAAAAAAAAAAGGCTCCAAAAAAGTATGTCCAGTAATCCCATTTTTAGAATAATAAACATAAAAACAAACTCACACATAAGAAGTCCGAAAAGAACAACCACGGGGATATTGGGAAGACTTATCTGTGGGTGGTAGGATTACGGATAATCGCTTTTTCCTTTTTTGTGCTTTTCTCTATTTTGGGACGGTTTCCTTTTTTTTTTTTTTTTAAAGATTTTATTTATTTATTTGACCGAGAGAGACACAGTGAGAGAGGGAACACAAGCAGGGGGAGCAGGAGAGGGACGGTTTTCTAATAAACATGCTTCTGTTGTCATTGGCAGGGAGCTATTCGTGAACACTTGTAGGAACGGGGCACGCTGGCCTCTTTGCAAGGAGGCTGTGCCCTTGTCAGTCCACAACCTGCCCCACTGTTGTGCTTGGCTCCTGCGCCCCAGTCCACATATGGACCTGGTTTCAGCTGATCTCGCTCAGGGGCGGGGCCAGCATGGATTAATCCAGAACACACAGCCGGGGCAGTCTCCTTTTAGGAAGTGACATTTTTTTAACACAAAGAAAAAAAAATCCTCCCTGAGGCTGGTCCTGAAGTTTCCTAAGCTGCAGAAAAACACCTTTTCCTAAAACTGACCGTTCTCAAAGCCATTTTCCTTTCCCAACACTGCCAGTGTATGCTGGTGGGTGAGAGTGATTTCCTGGGCGCCTGGGTGGCTCAGTCGTTAAGCGTCTGCCTTCAGCTCAGGTCATGATCTCAGGGTCCTGGGATCGAGCCCCGCATCGGGCTCCCTGCTCCGCGGGAGTCTGCTTCTCCCTCTCCCTCTGCCCCTCCCCCCACTCTCTTTCTCTCTCTCAAATAAAAGAAAAAGTCATTTCCTCAACCTGTCTTTCCTCCTCTTGCGGCTTTCCTTGGTGAGGAAAGACAGCGACATGATCAAGGAGCTGCCACATTCATGCTGCGTTTGGACCTTGCATATGTTACCCTGTTTTAATCTTCCAACTCTGTGCTCCGAGAGGCCGCGTACCTTGCCCGAGGCCACAGAGTGGAGCCAGGATCCTGAGTTGGGTCTGAACGACTCCAAGCCCATGGATACTCAGTACACGAGGTGTCTCTTAGCCTGCCCGGGCTCTCCAGCGGCGTCAGTCACCCTAACCTCTGAGATGAGCATGGTGGAGCCGTCTGTACCCGCCCCCCAGGCTGGGAGCCAGGCCCTCCGCTGGCCAAGAGATCTGAATTTCAGCTCAAAACACATGGGCCCCGCGAAGCCACGGAAGATCGTCCCACCTGCCTCCTGCCCGCATGGGCCTGCTTCCCCGCCTTGCAGGAGCACAGCGGGGTGTCACTCCCAGACCCTGGGCCCCCTGCAGGGGACCGCGTGAACAGGAGGACTGCTGCAACAAGGGTGCTGGGCGGCACATGGCGGGGCCTGGCTGGCTCCTGGTGCTCAAGGCTTGGACACCTGGGACTCAGCCCAGCCGGGGAGGATGCCCATATCTGTGTGGAGAGGGCGGCATGGGTTCAAGCCGGGGCTAGGTGACCTCAGGAAGAGGGGCGCCCCGGCCCCGTGCGCTCGCGGGTGTGTGACCCGAGATTTTGACAAGGTCCCCTCACCCCTCACCGGGCCCAGCCACTTCCTTCCCAGAAAGCTCCCAACATCACACCAGAGGGACACAACTGCCCTTGCATCCATCCCCCTGCCTCCCCTCCCCCAACTCACGGAGCCCCATCTCTGGCCCAGGTGGACACCAAGCCCCCCACATGCTAAACCCTAGGCTTCATTCCCCGACAGTCCTGGAGCAGCCCCAGTCGTGTGTCCGCGGTGACCTTTGGTGTTGGGATGCTCCAGGCAGGACCTCACTTCTCCTGAACCCCACTGCTGTCCTCACAGGGAGGGAGCTCACAGCCAGTGGGCAGGGATTCAAGCCCTGACTTCCTAACTCCACACCCGGACCTGGGGGCTGGTCTGGAACCCCCGTCCTTTACCCAGGTAAAACGATTCCCACCATCAGCCAACATCCTCTCTCATGCTCACAGCCCCGGAGAAAGGAGTCAATGTCACTCTGTGCTCAGAGAAGCCAATATGGGGGATGAGGGAAGAAACACATTCACCCCAGCTACCACCCACTCTCCCTGGGGCACCCAGCTGGGAGGCACAGCGCTGACCTGCAAGTTCAGATCTTTCTGGTGCTCGGTGCTGGACTGCCATTCACAGCCTCCTTGCAAGGCAGCTCCAGCAGGACTGGGGGACACCCCCCCCCTTTGCCCTCCATCACCAGCTTGTCCTGACTCTGGACAGAGCTGGTCATTATCGAGGGCTCTGAATCAACCAACATTTTCCTCCCTGCATCTTCTTGGCCTGAGAGCACAGAACAACTTCTGTCCCCCATCCACACCCCGGGTCCCGCCATGCTCTCCTTCCATGAGGTCACCCACCCTGCTCTGATACATCAGGATTTCTGGATGTTGGGGCCGTGGTCCTTAACCTCTCTGAGCAGGACTGGACATCAGCACAGCTCCATGTAATTTTGCTTTTCATGCAGTGCTCACCCAGCCCGGGAGGGGGATGTCTATATAAGCCAACTCTGAGGTTTAATTCAAAAGATCTGAGAAGTGATGACACCACAGAGACCACACTGGAACCAGCCAGTCTCCGGATCCCGAGTGCTGACAGATCACGGTGGGCTGGGACAGGCAGCCCCCTGCCCACTGGGGAGAGGCTGACAGCCGAGCCAGCCCCCGGGGGCGCTCCACAGCCAAGGGCCGGACCCTTGGCTCAGGGCGGACGGGCTGGGCAGCAAGAGTGTCTGGAGGATTCGAGATGCCAAGGAGGCTCTTCCTTGAGCCTCTTTGCTTTGCCTGCAGGACAGCTGGAGCGGCAGACAGATTCGCAGAGCTACTGCTAACCCCCCTCTACAGACAGACCTCAGCCACTGAGAGCAGAAGGGGGGCGGGTGGGCAGGAGTGTAGACAGAGTTAAATAAAGGCTCAGAGGAAGAAGATCAGCTGGAGAGAAAAGGGCACAAAGAGCAAAAAAATAAATGGCAAATTACCGGGTAGCCATCTCGTCCTGATTGCCCCTGTGGTAATTAATATGTCATTAATAATCAGACTTTGAGCAGAAAACCATATGGCAACACTTACAACTCAATCAGGGCCCCCCGGCCCCCCCATGTTCTGAGGGGTTTGCAGCAAAGGCTGATGGTTTGGTAATGACTCCTGGTGGTGGTGGTGGGGGGGACACTCAGGGCTCCGCCGGGTCTGGGAGACAGAGCACCCATTTCCTGCCTCTTGGAGCGAAGCTGGAGGGGCCACCAGGGAGCACACCCACGCGGTTCAGGGAGGCGGGGGGGACATGACGAGGACCACAGGGGGGTGGGTGATTCTGAAGGGTGGTGTCACCGCCACTATAGAAAAGGCTCCCTGAGTCGGGTCTAGAGAGCAGAAATGGCTCTTCCTGCCTGTTGCCACTGGGAGTGGGTAGATGGAGGAAGACAGCCTTGGAAGCCGGAGATATGGGGGCGGGGGGGCGGGGCATTTCTCTCTACTGGATGCTTCTCTGCTCCCCACCAGCTCAGAGCACTGACTGCCAGGCCAGTGTCCCACACATTGGCATCCATCTCAGGCTGCAGCTTGAGAATTCTGCAGAGTTTAACAGCCAAGTCAAAAAGAAAAAAAAGAGAATCACTCCACTGCCCTCCGCGTTACGCACTTCAAGCAAGTTCACACAGGCTAGCCTCCGCGTGACAGCCAGGAATGACTCAACAGCCAGAAACTGCTTGTGGCCAATAAATCTACAAATTCTCTTGGGCTCGCTCCCTGTCTCAGGGCAGTGCCGCCTCATGCACGGAGGAGCCCGGCTTCCGAAGGGTGCTGATTGGGAAAGTCAAAAATAAAACTGTTCACCGGAAAGGAATTCCTTTAGAAGGTTCACTTTGGCCCAAGCGGACTGTCAGTGTGCTCCCTGAATTGATTCGTCAGGATTCATCGGGCTCTGAAAAACTGCCAGGATGAATCAAAGACCAACTTGTCACATGTCTTTGGAGAAGGACCCGGGAGTTCCGGGGTGCTGACCATCCCCTGCGTTCCGTGCTGTCCCCTGGTGGCCAGTCCCTCCCGTGCACCCTCGTCCCACTGGCCAGTGAGTGGGGTGTTCCGGGTGCTCCCGCGAGGGCTCAGCTGCCCGAGCCAGGGAGGCAAACGCATTTTGGCAAATCGGGGAAAGGGACCCCTTGAGTCTTGTGGCACCGCTGCCTGACTCCAGGGCCCTTTGTGCCTAAGCACGCGAGACAGAAACATTTAAACAGATTAACTGCCACAGAGCATTTAGAAAATGAGGACACGGTGCTTGCGTCTCTGTGCACCAAGTTGAGCTGAGACCTGGCGAGGAGCAGCCGGGCCCGAGAGTGCCAACTCTCTTGGAAGGAAAAGGGTCACAGAGTGCTTCACAGGGCAAGTCAAGCCCATAGAATTCTGTGCTGGCATTCATCTACAAATTAAAAAAATAACATATGGCCCCTGTCCAGGACTGATTTTTTTTTTTTTAAAGGACACAACACACCTCTCTAACTAAAAATTATTTTCATGGAATAGTTACAGAAGAGGACAAAATCTCTTATCTTTCAGGAGCAGAAAGCATCATCCAGGACACTTACGGGAGGACCTGCAAAACACAAGCAGAGAACCTACAGTCAGCATCACAGGGAGAGAGGGTCCCCTTGCCCAGGCCAGCCTCTCTCTCGCACAGCTACAGGCCGCCCCTCCTTTCAAGCCTTTGATGTTCTCATGGGCCCCAAAGCCAAGTGGCAGGGCAGAGGGGGTGCTTTTGCCCTTGCAGGGCAGGGGCCGGCGTGTGGGTGGAAATGACAATCCCACGTGTACTGGTTCCCTGGTTCCGGCGTTCATTTCACAGGGCTATGGTTGATCCCTGCCTGGGGCCCATCCGGGTCCGGTTTTGGCAAGCCAGGTAGGAATCAGACCCGTTCCTGCTTGAAGAACAAATTTTGGTGCTCACCTGGGGTCAGTTCATTTCTACTGAAGGGGAAAGACTTGGGGGAGAAAACATTTGGGGCAAAGGGCAGAGCACTCCTAAGGGTGCAATTCTGGGTGGAGCTGAGCAGACACGCAGGGGGTGCCTATGGCTCAGCCTGGGGTTAGGGGCACCGAGTCTGGGTGTGCGTGGGGAAGCTGAAGGGGCTGAGTCCAGAAGCACAGGGGGCTGCTCTGGGAAAGGCTTGTGCAGCACGCTGACACCTGTCCCCCCCGGCAGATGAGGGCTTGCCGAGAACATTCTCGAAACCCGCAGGTGTCTTCTTCGCCTTCTGGGGTGCAAACCACACTGCATTTGACCTTCTCAGCCATCTTTGCGGGAGATGTGATAACAATACAGATGCTCAGGGAGAAAGCAGGGACTTGTCCAAGGCCACATAGTTGGCTAAGGGTTGGAACTCATCCCGGAAAGAGCTTTCCCAACTCTTGAACCCCATACACTTTCCGCTAAAGGCATGCCACTGCCAATCCAGTAAACTCTCTCCTCCGCCGCAGACCCTGGGCCTCAGTCTGGGTAGTGGGGCCGGCACGGGGAGGAGAGGACACTCGGCCGGCAGTTGGCCCACACATATTTATGGATCGCCACCTATGAGCCGCCCCCCCACCCCCGGGGGGGGCAAGTAAGGGGACCCACTGGTGAGTACAAGAGGCAGGATCTCTGACTCGCAGACTTTTTTCTGGGAAGGATAGATGCTTAGGAAAACAGTGACTCAGGGAGAAGCGCAGCAAGCTCCCAGCCAGGTGGGGTCCTGAAGGTGAGACATGGTTATCTCAGGGAGGAGAGGGGAGGGAGCCGTGGAGCAGGGATGGCACAGCTCCCAATGCGCCAGGATCACTGGGCTTCTGAGGGGCTGGGATCCACAGAGATGGGGCAGGGAGGGCGTGGGGAGAAGGCCAGCCAGAGCTCGGGGCCCTGTGTCCACACCATGGCCTGGGATTTGAAAGGCAGGGGGAGGCAGGGGGCACAGGCACAGAAGGGTCCTGCTTGGAGGAGGGGTGGGAGGTGGTGAGAATGGGTGCAGGGCAGCTGTCCCCGCGTAGGTGACGGTGGCCGGGACTCCGCATGCTCATAGTGGAGAGAAGTGAGTCAGAAGACACTTGTCAGTGAGGACCCGCAGGACTTGCTCATCGAATTAATGGCGTGTGGGGGGGATGTGCATGGGGCATAGAAAAAGGAGAGACAAGACAGAGATCTTTGGCTTGAAAAACTGATGTACGGTGGTGCTAATGCCCGAGAATGGTAATGTGGGGGGCTGTGGGTCCCCTGAGTCTAGACTAGGGTGGGGCAAGGCGTTGGCCCCGTGGACAGACTTTTTCACCTTCAGCTGGGGACCTCGCACCTTGTTTTCCCAGGAAAAGAAAAGCCACTGGACGGGTGCCACACGCACGTCATCTTTCTGACGCCACACGCACACACCAGCCTGCATCTGCGTCTGTGCCCAGCCTCCTGTCTGTGTCCCTCCGGGGAAGTCGGAGGAGCCGCCCCGCCCCGCCTTCCAGGGGCCCTGCACCCACCGCTGCCTCCCTGCCTATTGCATCGAGCCCACTTTCTCCAGCAGATGCTTCCCAGCAGCTCTGGAACGGCTCCAGTTTCTCCGCTGAAAGCCCATCCTTTGCTCACACGCCCTCCTCAGCTCCGGCCCTGGCTGTCCTCTCCCTCACTGCTGGGGAGAGGGGTCTCCTGTCACTGCCTCTAAATTTCACACCTTCCATGCACCTCGTGACCCTCTGATATGGGTTCCATCCTTATCACCAGCAGAACGGCTCTCACCCAGTCCCCAACCACCTGCCTCCACATTGGTCAGCCCGCCAAGGATTTCTCCTCTTCATCCCACGCTGCTGAGCACACCCGCCTTCTGGAAGCGCTCTCTCCCTTCGGCTTCCAAAAGGTCACGTTCCTCCCACTTCCCTGGCTGTTCAGCTGGCTCCATCCCTCCCAGCCTTATGCAGAGGCTCCTCGGAGCTCATGGCAAAGGCTTTTTTCTCTTCAGTTCTCCTCTGGGCTCATCTGTCCCTGCTCTCTCCCGTCTTCCCCAGGGATCTCATCACGCTCTTGACTACCCTAGGCAGAAGTGTCCCAAGTGGGTGCCTCCTGCCTCAGTTGTGTCTCAGAAGCCCAGACTCCCTCCCTTGAGCTGTCTGCTTGCCATCTCCCCTTGAACAGTCCCCAAGACTCCTCAAGCCAAGGTGTACAGACATGCTAATGGTCTTCTGCCCACAAACATGCTCCTCTCCTGGTTCCTAGTCTCCGTGGGTGAGATTCCCTCCTGCCCAGTTGGTGACCCGGACAATGACGAGTCCCCCTCGACATGCTCTCCCTCCCCAATGTATTGGCACATCCAATCCACAGACATCCATGGAGGGCCTGCTGTTCTGGATGCTGTTCTGGGCACGTGGGATACAGCAGTGACAATGACAAAGATACCCGTCCTAAGGAGCTCACCTTCTAGGGAGGGAGGCAGCCAAGATGCCGTAAGCATGACGAACAAGTACATCACCTACGAGATGACACGTACAGCATAGAGAGAGGCGGCGGGGCAGGGGCAGGGGTGCAAGGGGCTGGACTCTGGATAGATTCTGAAGGTAGAGCCAAGCAGATTTTTCTCCAGAGCGTGAGACAGAGGAGTAAAGAAAGATGCCACGATTCTAGGTGGAAAAACTGCAGGGATGGAGCTGCCCTCAGCAGAGGTGGGGAGACTGGGGGTCAGGCGGGTTTGGCTGGAAGGATCAGGAGCTCAGCCTTACATACACATGGCACTCGGGGGTGTCCCAACAGTTCGAGGTTGGGAAGAAGAGAAGGAATTCCTAGAAGCGGAGTGGAGAAAGTGCATTGAGGAGGAGGAGGCTGTTGCCCGTGCCCCTCACTGCGGACAGCTGAGTAAGATGAAGACCAAGACCAGCCCACTGGGGGCGCCTGGGTGGCTCAGGTCAGCGTCTGTCTTCAGCTCAGGTCGTGATCTCAGGGTCCTGGGATCGAGCCCCATGAGTGCGGAGCCTGCTTCTCCCTCTGCCACTCACCCTGCTTGTGTGCACCTCCCCCTCAAATAAATAAAATCTTAAAAAAAAAAAAGACCAGCCCACTGGCTCTAGCCACACAGGGGTAAGGGCAGGGGGAGTGATGGGTGTGCAAATCTGGTTGGAGATGGTTTCCAGGAGAAGGGCAAGGAGGAATATGGGCAGCGAGCACTTTCAAGCAGTTTTGCTGCAAAGGGGAGCAAAGACACAGAGCAGGTGCTTTGGCGACATGGGGTCCAGAGAGGGCTACTTCTTCAAGAGGAGAGACACAACCATATGTGTGTATAACGGGAGTCATCCGCAGGGAGGGGAGGATCCAACATGTTGGAGAATGGGGGATTCCTGGAGGGATGACCCTAAGGATGGCACATAGAGGTGGCCCTGCTGGGGAGATGACCCTGAGGATGGCACATAGGGCAGGGGCTGGACATCCGCATGTGGGTCTGGCATTCAAAGTGTCACTGGCCACATGGGTGCTGGAGTGTGTGTGTGGGATTTGAGCCAGAGGGGGCGACACGGTGGGATCCGTGGGTTGGAAGATGCAGGAGATGGAAGGGATGTGGGGGTAGGGAAAGAGGCAGTGGGCTCAGGTGAATTGTGTGAATTGGGGTACAGTGACGCTGTATTTGCTGGTGATGATGAGGCATTGGTCAATGCCGTGGGAGGGAGGGTGGCTGGAGGTCCAGCTCACTGAAGGAGGCCTGGGTGTGCGAGGGGCTTCTGTGTGCATATCAAGATCCCCCAGGACCGACCCAGAAGGAGAGTTGGTGGGAGGGCTGCAGACCCAGGAGGTCAAACCCACAAGCAATGAGGGGGATGTGCCGGCGTCAGGGCTGACATATCGCTACTCCAATCTCCACATTGGGCCCAGGGTGCTGTTTTCAAGATGCAGATCCGAGCATGGCACCCCTTCTCCCCCCAGTCTTCATTTTCCCATTGTTCTTAGGGACAAAGGCTCCAATCCCACGTCACATGCTGCGATCTGTCCCTGACTCTCCACCTGAGCCCCTTGAACCCATGGGAAGAGGGGCCGTGTTACTAAGGGGTGCTGGGCAGACTGGTGGTTATCAGGACAAAGTGAAGCTGGATCTGTGCCTCAGCATGAGCCACGATAAATTCCAGAAGGATCAAAAGACTTACAGGTTTAAAAAATTCATAAAAATCTTAGAGGAAAACAGACCCATAAATACAGAGAACAAACTGGTGGTGGCCAGAAGAAGAGGGAGATGAAGGGGGTGGGGGATGCAGGCTTCCAGTTACGGAATGAACAACTCACGGGGATGAAAAGTACAGCGTAGGGAATATAGCCAATGATAGCGTAATAATGTTGTATGGGGACAGATGGGAGCTACACGTGTAATGAGCACACACAACCTGTAGAGAAGTTGAATCACTATGTTGTACACCTGAAGCTAATGTAACATGGCGTGGCAACTATACTTCAATTTAAAAAAAATATCCTAGAGGAAATTCCTTTCTAACCGTGGAGAGGGAAAGGCTTTTCCAACTACAGTCCCTAATCAGAAGCCATAAAATGAAAGTCTGATTCAACCGTATAAAACCAAAAATGCCTACAAGGCAGAAAGCACCATAAGCAAA